AAATTACAAAATGTGGAAATTTTTTTTTTCTTTTCACATTTTTAAATTTTTTTCTAGGTTCCAATTTAGAAAATTACAAAACTAATGTTTATTTTATGAAAATTATTTCATATTTTGCTTTATATAGAATATATAGAATATATAGAATATAATAAATATTAATTTATATAATAAACTTATATATCATATACAACCTAGTTTGGCACAATTTTTAAAATTTATTAAATTTTCCATTAAAATGGAAAATTTCATTGTTTTATTTGTACGGATATAGATGTATAAATAGTTTAGAGAGCAGACTTTTTTTTATAAAAAATGAAATCACTTGAAATAATAATCTATTAAATGTTATGTATTATATATACTCGTACATATGTATGTCTAGTAATATTTTATTCATAGTGTAATCAAGATTATAATAAATATACGTTACATACATATAACTATTGAAAATAAATACATAATAATGTAAATATATATTGTAGACTGGCAGCGATTTTAAATGTGTAGTGTAATAGCAGCTTTGCACGTTGTTACTATTTTAAAGATGGAAAGTTTACAAACTCAAGAGTATTAAGAAATTAAAGATGAACTTGAAAGAATATTATTCGATATTAAAAAACAAATTTGAGAAACCTTATTATACGTATAGGCTTTTTTTTCAATTTCATCAATCAAATTTTAATTTTAATTACATTTCTTGTTATTGTACAAATATTGGGATAAATTTCAAGGTTCAATCGAACGCAATTACTTCAAAAATATTTTAAAAGTGTTCAATATTATTATAAAATAGAGAGCAAGTTATTAATTATTTTTTTAATTAAAACATGTGTAATATCAGTAGAAAATATTAATGGCGGATTCGTAGTGTTACGTTTCTATTTAATTAAAAAATCTCATGTATATTTTGAACGTAATATTTATATAAATATAACGAATTCATATTTTTCTGACATAATTTTTAAAATAATAATTAGATTACATTATATTAGTACTTCTGCCTATTCCTATACTAAATTTTCTTATCTACAATAAAAAAAAAATGCAAATTCTTGACATTTTTTCTCATCTCTATTATTCAATGATTTTCTTTATTTGCATAATAAATATACATACATACTGTAACCATATTTTTATATTTACAATCTTTTAACTAAAGTACAATAATAATATTTAAAGCCACTTAGTTTTTGTATAGAAAATAAAAAGTTTAAAGTCTCTCTTCTATTCATAATACTTTCAAATTATCATTATTAATTTTGCTGTAAATTCAAAATGAAAAAAAAAGAGCAATTTAATTTCAAAGTAAAAAAAAAAAACTAATTCTATCCAGTTTATAACAAGAAATAACGAGAAGTAAAATGATTACATTTAATCTTTTACAATATTTCGGAACATTCTACGAGTGCACGACATTAGTTTTGACGTTCATTATTCTAGTATCAATATAAAATTTTGACGTAATAGTTCCCAATCTTATCATAAACAAATGTATTACAATATAATATATGTATGCATGAATATTTATGTATATTTAACACACATTGAATGTGTACATAATTTAACTGTGTGTACATATTTATATTCTGTGCTAAGTATAATAATATTAACACTTTGACTCTCAGATTCACTACCAATACGAGTATAGTTTAGTAATATAAAGAGTTGATTATAAACAATCTTTGCTATGTATAACAATGTATAACACAGTATCTTGTATATTTAGTATGTTTTATTGATATGAAGTAGCAAAGTCCAGTATTTATCATCAACTATATGTATTTGATATAACAAATAAATATGTAAAATTACATAAATTTGAACATAGCTATGTACAAAACTTTCATGTTTCTAAAGTATATATCTTGAAAATTTATGATATACATATTATATGTGTATTTTATGTAGACATACCTATAGATCTAGATGAAAATTGAATATAAAATAATTTAATTCATATTACACACATAATATATTTTTATTATTGTAACATTGAGATTGCCAATGGAGAGCAAAGAACCAATTTTTAAGACATATATTATGTATACGTACATACGTATATATAAGTATGTAGGTGTATAATGCAAATGGTAAACATGAATAAGCTTTAGGTAGGTACTTCATTCATCAATTTTGTATAATGTATAACATACATATATGCATTATAGACCAGGTTTAGATACGTATGAAGTATAGGTAAATAATGTGTATGTAATTTTTAAATAAGATTAAAATTTTTGGCAAAAGTAAAAGAATTTTGAATTATCTTGATAGATAAGAATAGTTTGTTCTATTCGAATAGATAATGCGTAAAATAAATGTGATTATAAATAGATAAAACAGGAAATTGTTGTGTTGTCATGAAGAAAACACATAATTTTCTGTCTTGATAGCCTATTTTTGAGGCCAATTAAATTTGGTTATTATAATACGATATTATGACGTTCATATATGTTGCATAATAATTATTGAAACATAATTCTGACATTTTTTGTTGTTTTACAATCAATTATAGAATTTGATTAATAACAAATTAACATAAATTTGAAGATGTATAAATTATTTCATTCAAATAATGGAGTTACCTTTCCTTAGATTGTAGAACAATATTTAAATTTTTCCGAATGAAATGAGTTCTGAAATAGCTAAAATTATAGAAAAATTTTGTTCTTAATTTATCTTGCAAGTGAAATACTTATTTTCATTTATTTACGGAAGTTAATTTGGTATATACTCGTATACATATGTACATATGCATGTATCATTTATAATATACATAAATTATGTATAAAATTAGAGCATATTTTATTTAATCAAATTATTTTATTTGCTTTCGCGTTTATTCTTATTGTACATATATGAATTATTTTATAATATACGCACACATATTAAATTCAACAAAAATGTACTAGTTAAAATAAATACCAATATACATACATATGTATGTACACTAGTTCCAAAACATTTCGCTCATAGGTTTAAAAAGGGAAAATTATACATTAGAATAATTATAACCTTGACCATTTTATTTGCAAAATAAAAAAAAAATTGCTCTACTTATCAATTTCAGTTTTTCCGAATGTCAAAAAATGTTTGATAATAGGTGAAGGGAAAAAAATTAGAATTTTACAACTAGTACTGTGATAAAATTTATTATACATATGCGGAAACAGCATGGTGAATTGTACATATAGGATATGCATTTTGTTAAATAGTATTACGAAAAATTTATGAATTTATGAATTTTTCCTATATTTATAGCGAATATAGGTTTTACATAGAATTTTTTTTTTATTATTGTCGAACTTACACAGTAATATATGTATATTATGAGGCTTTACATAATTGCGACTGTTTTAAAAACATTATTTTGTTATGATGATCTAAAGGAAAATCATGTCCAACGTATTAACCGAAGATCAACGTATTCCTTCCTAATTCGATGATTCTCGATCAAATTTTAATACTGACATGTTACATTATACACGATATAACTATATGTGCTGGAACATGTGTATTGCTGCTGTATAATTAGAACATGATAATAAAAGAAGAATTATTAAATATATGTTAGCAGGAGCTTCTTAAAATTTACAGCATTTAACTAGATTATTCTGATATAAATCGATTTACTGATGCCTTTTTTTAATTAGATTTTTAAAAAATAAAATAACGAATTGAAAGGAATTAATACTTAAATTTTTAAGTAATTAAGCCCTTGTAGTATAATATAATTTATATTTTATTAATTGTAATTAAGTAACGATATTTGTTAGACATTTCTATGCAATTTTATAAATGAAATAAGAATGTAATTATTATATGCAATTCTATTTTAAATATTTTAATAAACAGCACAATAAAAAAATTCTCTTTTATCAAAATTAAACAGAATTAGTAATTTTTATTTATTATAAAGTTAGACGGGAAATCCAACGAAGCAATTTAAAATGTTACATAAAGTAATTAGAATTCCTTTAATTGTTTATTTAAATTTTTTTACTCGTGGATTGTAACATTTTTAATGATATATATGTACATACATAACAGTATTAGATAACAATCAACCGTCTAACATTTTTAATAAATTTCATTTTATATACACGTAATGTGCATATATAATGGTTCTTCGTAATACACATGTATAACTGAATTTTATACAAATTCAAGGTTTTATTACAAACTTTACTCTAAAATTTACTAAAATTAACTAAATATTATGGGAATTATACAATATTTAATTATGCATATGTATATTTTAAAGCAAGTTATCCTATTTAATTTAAATTACATAATTAAATTTCATCATTTTCATTAAGTCAGATTTTAAGAACAAAAGCATGATCAAATTGTTGGAATTTGACAAAAAGTCGAAAAATTTTGGTTTAAATTTTTTTCATTTGATTTTTCAATTGAAATTTAATTTTTATAAATTATTTTAAATAATATATATTTGAAATTTCAATATGTTCAGTTTAATTAAAAAAAGTAATTTTTATGTTATACAAAATTTTTTATTTTATACATGAAAGTGAAGGTATAAAAGCAAAATCAAGTGGCGATCATCTTATTTGAATCAAATACATATAACTTTTTTTTTTTAAAAGGATTGAGAATTCAACAATGTTTTCGATTAACGTTGAATGTTTCAAATTTTGTTTCAAATTTTATTCTTTGTGTTGTATAAAATTATAATGCATTTTTATTAGATGTTATTTAACTGTAATTCAAAATGCACAATTAATTTGTAATTGTTGTTAAAATATGTTGTTAGATAGTTAATTAGAAATTTTTTCCTATAAGAACATGTAGATTGTAAATTTATAAAATCATGAAAATCTCACCACCCACAATATTTGCTTGTTAATGGAAATAAAAGAAAAATATTGTTATTTTCACATTTAGTTGTCCTCTTAATAATTAATTGTAATTAAATTGGTTTTTTATTTAAAAACTATAATTAATTTTTTCTTTATTTTTATTTTCATTTAAAATAGTACCTCGACATTGGCGAGGATATGAATGTACCTGATGATTTCACACAAAGTGAAATGCAAAGTGGTATGTGGTGGAGACATTTAGCTGCAGGTGGTATTGCTGGTGCTGTATCAAGGACATGTACTGCCCCATTAGATAGAATTAAAGTATTTTTACAGGTAATTATAATATTAATTAATGAACATTTAAACCAAAAATATTATTTTAAATATAATATTAATTAATTAAAAAAAAAATGAATATTTAGGTTCAGCCTCATAAAACAAGAATCTCAGATTGCTTTAAATATATGATGAAAGAAGGTGGCTTACAAAGTTTTTGGCGAGGTAATGGTATTAATGTATTAAAAATAGCACCAGAATCAGCTATCAAATTTGCTGCATATGAAAAAGTTAAACGTTTATTGCGTGGTGATGAAAAACGTCAAATGACAATATATGAAAGATTTTTAGCTGGTGCATGTGCTGGTGGCGTTAGTCAAACTATTATATATCCAATGGAAGTATTAAAAACAAGATTAGCATTACGAAAAACTGGTCAATATTATGGAATATTAGATGCAGCTAAAAAAATATATGTTAATGAAGGTGTAAGAAGTTTTTATCGTGGTTACATTCCAAATATATTAGGTATTGTTCCATATGCTGGAATTGATTTAGCTGTATATGAAACATTAAAAAAGAAATATTTAAGCACTCATAATAAAGAAGAGCCAAGCTTTTTAGTGTTATTAGCATGTGGTAGTATATCAAGTACATTGGGTCAAGTTTGTTCCTATCCATTAGCATTAGTTAGGACACGGCTACAAGCGCAAGGTAATTAAATTGCTTCAACATATTAAAATATTATGTACACATAAGTATGCGAATGCATGTATATTTATATGTATATACTCGTATTTAAAATATTATTTTACAATTTGTACTCATGAATGTTCTTTTTTTTTTTTAATATTTTTTAGCTGTGGTCAATAATAAAAATTCACAAATGCCAACCAATATGCATGGTGTATTTAGTCATATATTAAAGAATGAAGGTGTTATGGGATTATATAGAGGTATTACACCAAATTTCATTAAAGTCCTGCCGGCAGTATCAATCAGTTATGTTGTTTATGAGTATTCAAGTAGGGCACTTGGTGTTAATATGACGTGATCATCGCAATGCTCTCTAGTTATAAATTTACAATTAAGTGATATTTATTTAAAAATAATAATAACCAAAATATAAAAAAAAAAGAAAAAATTTAAAATCTATTTTAAAAAGTGTATTTTCTGATAACATTTAATTTATATTTTAATGTTATTATTATTTTAATTATATTTATTTTTTATATCCTCAAATGGTTTTTTAACAAGACTTACAATAAAAGCAAATAAAATGATGTTTAATGACTTCAAATGCATTGTATAGGTTATCTATTCTTAATAAAAAAAAAAACAAAAAAAATTTAATGGTATCAGAAAATTTGGAAATTTTCTTGATAATAACTGGAAAATAAATTTTCTGGAAAACAACCTACAAAATTGCATGACCCACATTTGGTTTAAGTCACTTAGGTAACTTACGTAAACAGTATGGTGTAAATTTACACTAAGAGGATATTTGAAACCATTGAAATGTTATCCGAAAATAAATATAATATTTTAATTAAAGTGTACTTTATTTAAAAAAAGAAAAAATGAAACTAAAAAAAAAAACAGAATTGTAAAAAAGCTTCGGTGAAACAGTAACAAACTTTGAAATTTTGATTTTATTTTTATTTAATCAAATTAGGCTTAAGGTAATATCTATTTCCGTCTTGGTAGCTATTATACTTACCTATACAGTAGTATATTCAATAAAACATTTCATTCTAATCAAATATAATTCCTAAGAAAATAGAATAGAGAATTATTGGATGGAAATAGGTGTAATTACTTTAAATGAAATTGAAAAAAGAAAAAAATAAAACCAAATCATAAAAATAGAAAATTATAAAACTTAAAATAAACTACCTAAAAAAAATTGCATAATATTTAAGTAGGGACAAATTTTTTTTATTTATTATAAACTTATTTTTTTTTTTTTTTTGTAAATATCTAAAACTTTTTGTTTTTATTTATAATGTTTTTTATAAGTTTTCCTTCTATTTAAAATTTAACTTTTAAATTCTAATTAATAATAATATTCTCTTAAGTTCATAAAGTATTTCAAAAGCGAAATTCAAATGGCATGTGCTAGTAAATTATTAAAGACAAAAGAGGCTGGTATTATAGAAAAAATCCTCAGGTTTATTTAACAAAAATATGTATTTAATGCATCAGCTAACGAAATTTCGCTTTAGAAGAAAAATATTTATAACAGAAATTTGGAGTTTTTTTTTTGAAAAAAAAGAAAAGGTTTAATAAAAATTTTTTAAATCTTTTTGGCTTAAAACAAACAGTTAATAAAAAATTTAAAAGAAAAAATAAATGAGAAAATAAAAATTTCAATTTGATTTTAAAAATTTAACAATTGTTTTAATTTTATTTTGTATAATATTATTTTTGTTTTCATTTTCAGACATATTGTTTTTAAATTTTTATTCTTTTGGTATTTTGTTTATTTTTTCGAAAAAAAAAATTAAAATAAATGCCACTTCAATAATTTTTATAAAATGCCTGTATAAAAAAATGTTTAATTTGCTTATGTTAACAGATCCATGTATGTTACGTGACATACATGAAATTTTCAATGTCCATGTATATCCACCCACATTTAAAATAGCTCAGTTCTTTTCAATATTTCATTTATTTTCGGTTTACTCGTATTTACTGACTCGGTTTTATCGATTAATTTTTTGCTACTTTTTCATTCAATCAAATGTAGGTAACAGCTATTTTGTTTTACCTATTTTTTTTTTATAATTCGCTTTAAAGCTATACCAAATATTGGATCTAAAATAATTACATAAGTTAACCGTTGATTGCTCTCTTAATATTCCTAAAAATTCATATGTTATTATGCAGCAATAATGTTATAAGTTTTTATTTCCATTTGAATAAAAATTTTGCCCTTTTTTCATTTTCGCCAATTCGATTTTCAAGCAGCGATTTTTTTTTTTAACTTTTTACGGTTATCTTAAGTGATATTAGCTTGAGGTAACCATATAAATTTACGTTTTTGCCTTATATAAAATATACATATAAAATACATATAAATATGTATATATTTAATATATGTATATATTTAAACGCATAACATATAAGTTTAAATGTTATTTTTATTTATTTAGTTAAAAAAAATTATAATTTGTACGTTATAAAATATTTAATTCAAAATATGCATTTCAAGTACCTTGTATTACATTATAATTTTTTTGAAATTAACAACATGAAATTATAATGAGGGGAATTTTTTAATTTTTGTATTTACCCTAATTTAATTTTTAAGTATAGATCAAAATCAGATAATATTCTACCAATATAAAAATTGAAAGCTCTAATATTTCGATTACTAAAGTTTAATATAATAAAAAAGTCATATGAAATAATTTTAATCATTGAGTGAGGATTTAATTTACTTTAGGTTAAACTAAATGTTACAAAATTAAAATATAAGTCCTATGTTGTTTTTCTAGAAAGCGAACAGCAAGAAGTCTCACATATTTTAAAATGAATTTTAAAATAAGGTGACGAGATTGATTTTATAAATATGAATAAAATATGATATAAAAAACGAAAAGAACTGATATAAAACTATACAACTTATTATAAAATGTATATAGATTAGTAAATATTTGAATATTTTATAACAAAAAATACATATTTATGGTTAATGGTTATAATTATGATGCATAATAGATAGACAAACAATATTAGTAAAAAATGCAATATCTGCAATTTATCAAAACATAAATATATATATACACATATATGCCAATTAATTAACCCCCAATTGAAGAAAATATAGACCTGTATGCATTCCTACATATGTATATCACTTTTTTATTTTCAGAATTTCAAAAAACGATTTTAAATTATTTTTAACAAAAATTTATTACAAATTCATACTCTGTTTTTAATTATATTCATGTTGTTTATATTTTTCATGTTGTTTTTAATTAAGATTTACCAATATGTTAGAAGGAATTTACGAAATTTATTTAATGAGATTAATTTAAGAATAAAAATAAAGAAAAAAAGATTTTTAGACAAAAAATTCTTTCCACTTTAATTTCTTAATACATACATATTATAAAGTAAAAAACAATATTATGCATTTTTACCGCAATATAGTGTCAAAAAAGAATTATTAAAAGTTATTTTCGCACTTTTGATAATAAAGAAGATATTGATCTATATAATTACTTTTGAATTTGGTAAATACATTATTATGTGCGTTATTAAGCCCCTAAATCCTCATTTTAAATTTTAGTTCCCAAATTTTTGGAAAATATTCAGTTATAATTTATGTAAGCATAGGAAGATTATAGCTCCTAAATACGTATATATACATACATACTATAATATAATATAATTTATCTATGAAATGAAATTAAAAAAAAATATATAAAATACATATTTTTATAACCAATACCAAAAGACTTCTTTAATACCAAAAAATTTAATATCCTCTATTATTAAAAATAATCAGCCTAGTTTTTATTCATTGGGCTTATCACAAAATAATGTTATATTGGTACTGGTTATTAAAAATATAGTAATATTTCTTAGGTATTTGTTCAATTTCTTAAATACAAAATAAAATAATATTCAGTTAATTCTATAATCTCTTTTTTAATATTCATTTTTGAAATTGTATCTAAAAATTTTTCTAAATGATTAATATTATACTATTTATTAAAATATTAAAAAAAAATTATTAAATTTTGAAATTATCTTAAATATATAATTAAAATATTAAAACTTCAAATTAATTAATAATTGAGATAAACTTTAAACTATTATTTTAAAATAAAAAACAAACTTAAAAAGTATATACTTACTAGTACGAGTATTTACAAATATTGAATTAATTTTTCAATTTTACTTAACTAAAAATTTATAATCAAAAAAGAAAAACCAAAAAATATAAATTTCCCATATATGCCTTTTCAATAATTAAAAGCAAATAAAATAATTACAAATTTAAATACATACATACATATAATTCTTTAAAAAGAAAAGAAAAACTTATGAAGGTTATTTTGTCTGTGAAAAAATTATAAAATAATTATAATTTAAAAAAAATTTTAAATAAAATCTTGTTGTAAAAAATCAAAAGTTAAATAAAATTTTCAAAAATAATTTGTTTTTTTGTTTGATTTCTCACGTAATTTTCGACCATTCATGTTGAATTTTAAATTTCTTTTAATAAATAATTAATATTCACGTTTTTTTAGCTTATACACATTTAAGTAATTTTAGCGGTTTGATTGGACTCAAAACTCTCATATAGTGTTTGTCGAATACAAAACATTTAAGCTTTACATAATTTTCGGCCTATTAATAATTTTCATAGAGCAATCAAATCAAAGTACGCACAAACACGTTAATATACAAACATATTGGTTGCACGCACGTATTTTAAGTTTATTTGATATTATGTACTTATGTATGTAAATACAGAAGTTCTTATTAAGATTATATACATCGTTATATAATCTTCTGTTTGCTTTTATTTATTAATACATTATAATAGATTTTGTGTTGTATATTATTTTATATAAATATTGTGAATAAATGTACGTTATGTACCTATTATAATGTATATTTTTTTTTTTGGGAACTGCAAAACTCTTCCGCAAATTCAGCTTATTATTTTATATATTATGCAAGGTTAAATTTTCGATGACATCGTAACTTAGTATAAAGTTTTTATATTTATAATTTATGTTTCATTTAGCGTTATAATTTAAGCATGAAAATTATAAATTCGGCCCTTACGCTTTTCATCGTAACAATAGTTTTGTATTCCGTTTTGGCTGCAATTGATAAAGAAAACCAATTGCAAGAAGAAGAAAATAAACGAAAATGTAACAGCTATTGCAAGCACTGTGGTTGTATGGATTTTTATTGTGGTGAAGAGTGTATTTGCGAATGTAATAAATTGAATAAAATTGGAGATGATTGCATTAAAGCAGTACAAAATGATGCGGAAAAGGTTAGAATACCGTTTGAAATTCTTATTCATAGCCCAAATGCAAATAAATATATTAAGGATGCTGAAAAATATAGTTTGAAACTGGACAGAAAAGTTGTAAAATATGATCGTGGTAAACGAAGTACAATTGTGATATATCGACCTACAAAAATATCTACATACAAAAACTTCGAAGATATTTCAAAAATTTACACTAAAATTTTGGAAGCTCGAAGAGAAATAGAAAAGAGACAAATTCAAAATGATTAATTTGTTAAACACCTATTATAAATGTAAATTTTATTATAAGCAATATTACGTTGATTTTTTAATTTAACTATTGAATATGTATGTGAAACATTTTTATAAACCACAATAATTTTAAGAAAATAAATGTATTTTTTATTTCAAACTTAATGCAAAGAATTTAAAAAGAAAAGAAAAAAAAATAACATTAGAATGTTTAGCTAATTTAACGTCTTTTGCCTTTGCCTTTTTTATGACCTCCACCTCCACCACCTCCAGATTGTGCGGGTTGTGTTGAACCTTCAGTTGATTTAGGATTTTGACGAGATTTAAGTTGAGGAATTCTCGTGCCTGCAAAAATTAACAAACTATCGCGAGTAGGTAGTTCTGGATTACAAGGAGTTCCATCATCATTTTTTAATTGAACACGAATACGTCCCCTATAATTTAGCTCCTAAAATATTAAATGTTGAAAAAAATAAACCTATAAATATAATGCTTGCTATATGTTATTAATACTTTGCTTTTTTCTCTTGAATATAGTTTATTTTCAACTCCTATTCTTAGATTTGTTGTTGAGAGAACATCGCGTATTTCAACATAGGTTGGATTTTCTACACAATATTGTTTGGCTACACGTCTGCCTTCTTGACGCGTTTTTTTGCTATTAATATAAGCAGGATATATACAAACCCACCTTATTAGAAAAAAAGTGTAATATAATTTTTTTTATACATATGAATAACAATTTTATTTAAATACTAACCTTTCAATGTCGCTATTTTTTTTGTCAGGAGACCAGGGAGTTTTTACTGGTCCAGCTGCAGCCATTTCAATTGATTACAGAATATGGAAAACGAATAGAGAAACAAATTCTTTTCCTACTTTAATACTCAGATCAATTTCGCAGAAAATAAAATTAATTTCCAATTTTATTTTATACAAAAAGGTCTTTCTTTCGTCCTATGCAATGTAAATGTATCTATTTTACTATTTTTGTTTAGAATGATACGTATACGTTAAATGTCACTTTTGTTTTAGTGCTACCGTCTTAAAATATATGTAAAATATTAGCAGTACATACTTGAAAATTAATTCACTGCATAACTAAACAATGTTCAGATTGGTTTTAATTATTTTTCAATACATACTTTGATATATGCGCAAATTTCTGAGGGCCAGAATAAATCCGTTTATTAACACTAATATTTCCTTCTTCAATTTACTGTATTAAAATTCCAAAAACAAACCTTCGTTATGTGTTTAAAATTTAATATATAAGAAGGTAAACGCACTGAATAGTGCTGCCGTTCAAAAGTGACCTAAGCTAGTGACAACTGACAACAACACATGTTCTTGACATTTTAGAATTAATATAAACAATTCATTTTTCGATTGTATACTCTTACATGCCCTAAATTTAAACTGGCAAATAAAAACTTAGATCAGTTGAAAAGTGTATTCAGTATTTAGTGGATTATTCAAATAAATTCAGAACGAGTTAAGTAGATACATATAATTATATTAATCCTATCAAATTGATATTTTGTGTATATATATAAGATACACATAAACTTTTTTGTCGAACTTAAACTAATCAAAGGAAACCCGTAACTATTGTAAAAAAGAAACGAGCAAAAATTTAAGAATGGAAGATATAAATGAAATTATGGAAAAGTGTCAAGATAAATCTTCGCAACAGAGTCAAGATGAGGTAATTCTATATCTAATAAATTTTTAATAAATTGAGTAAACATTTCTTTTTTCAAGAACTTTTATAAACAAAAAAAATTATTTTTAGATTCTTTTGCAACCTTTTGCGTATATACAACAGATTCCGGGTAAACAAATACGCTGTATGTTAGCTTTGGCCTTCAATCATTGGTTAAACATACCAATGGAAAAACTAAATTCCATAAATGAAATTGTACAAATGCTCCATAATTCTAGTCTATTGTGAGTATACATGTATTTATTCGTATTATATTTGTGTTTATAATTTAACGTAATTAGGTTTTTAATGTTTGTTTAATGCTTTAAAATAAATTTTACGCTTTAAATTATTGTTTTTAAATAATTAAAATCGCTACATATGAACATAATATTTAAAAATGAGATTATTAGGCCATCTAAGTAGGTACAAAGTTATTGACCTTTTTTATTGTGTCTCTGAATATCGTTCGATAGGTAGATACTTGACCAATATAGCATAAAAAGAATTTTTTTTGTTTTAGAAAAATATATATCTCATTTTGTATGTATCTACAAAATATTGCATTTATAATCATATTGCATATTTGTCAGTTCTTTTAAGTTTCGTATATTATTTTAAAATCCATAAATTTTTTTTTGCAAGTTTAACAAAGTTAGTTTACTAAAATAAAATATGCAGGTATATAACAATTTTCTCTAGGCTTTGGAGTTTTGTTTTTTTAAATGCAGCTTTATTACTAATATTATTTAAATGTTGTCTTACTAATTCAAATTGCAGAATTGATGATATAGAAGATAATTCGATACTTCGTAGAGGAATACCAGTAGCTCATTCAATTTATGGGGTTGCCAGTACAATAAATGCAGCTAATTACGTGTTCTTTCAAGCTTTAGAAAAAGTACAAATGTTAGAGCATCCTGAGGTTAATATAGTTTTTAACATATGATTCTCAATTATAAAAAAGTGATTTTTTTATTTTAAGGCTACTAAAGTTTATACAGAACAATTATTAGAATTACATAGAGGACAAGGTATGGAGATTTACTGGCGTGATAATTTTACATGCCCTTCAGAATCTGACTACAAATTGATGACGGTTAGGAAGACTGGAGGATTATTTATGTTGGCTATACGTTTAATGCAATTATTTAGTAATAATAAAGATGATTTTACCAAATTAAGCGCTATTATGGGCTTATATTTTCAAATTAGAGATGATTACTCAAATTTAAGCTCAAAGGAGGTAAATAATTAGCTACTAATTTATAAGTGTTAAAGCTTTTATCTAATATTTTTTTAGTATTTTGAAAATAAAAGCTTCTGTGAAGATTTAACTGAGGGAAAATTCAGTTTTCCAATAATACATGCCATACGTCATCAAAAAAACGATAAGCAAGTTTTACGTATCCTTTTTTAGAATGATAAACTCATGTATATATAATGTGCTTGTGCATTATGTGCATGCATATTTAAAAGTTTAAGAGTCTTTGTTTTCAGGTTGAAATATCAGCACTATTTTCAATTTTATAATTTTAGCTTTTTTTTTTATTAAATTCTATTCCTTTTAAATTAAAATAATATCTGAATTAATATTTTGTCTGCATATAAAATGTTAATTTAGTTGATGTAACTTAAATTATGAATTTTCCTTCAAGCAAATAAATTTATAGATATTTTGAGACAGCGTACGAATGATATTGAAGTGAAAAAATACTGCATCAATTTGTTGGAAAAATTAGGAAGTTTCGAATATACACGTAAAGAACTATTGAAATTAGACCGTCTCGCTAGGGAAGAGGTAATCCATTTATAATATTGGAAATATTGTCTTATATTTATTTTGGTTTAGGCGGAACGCCATGGCCCAAATCCTATAATGGAAAATCTTTTAAAAGAAATTGGGAAAGGATGGAAAACTGAAGAAGAAGAAAATTGTGATGAAAATTAAATCAATAATGGAAAATAATCACCTCTTAAGACCAAAGATTTGTTTTGGTTATGTTATTTTTGACATTCTTTGAACGAGTAATGACTATGCAAAAAATAAAAATTATTCCTTTTATTAATTATTGTATATTAAAACTTAATTATTGTGTATTAAAGCTTATGTATTTAAATTAAGAAAGTTCATATATTGCATGTTTCGTCCTAAAGATAAACAACGATTTGAAATATATTGCTTTTTAAGTTTTTATAAGAATAATCGAAATTTTGTAGGAAATATAATTTATTTTTCCTTTTCCAGAATTTTATTTATATGCATATGTAATTTTATAATAAGTAGTTAAAAATTGAATATTTATAAAACTAATATTTCAGTATTCAATAATATTTTTCGATTGAAATTATATTTGATGAAACAGAAAAAAAAACACAAAACAGAAAAATTAGATTTCCAAATACATACATTAATTTTTTTTAGAAAAATATAAGTATAAATTATAATTTGATGGTAAATATGTATTTTATATGGAAAAAGTATGATAAATTTAATTGTATAATTTACATATACACATACATATGTAAATTAAAAAAGTATAAAATAAAATCTTAAAGCTCCAATCTTAAATTTTAATAATTAATATTCTTCAGTTAATAGTAAAACTTAGTTATCGCTGGTTTGGAAATAAAAAAAATTGTAATATTATTTAAATTTTATTTATTATCTTTTCTATTTTAAAAATTTATGCTTAAAAATTTAGAATGAAAATTAAATCAAATTAGTAATTTAAAATAAAATAAGAAAGCGAAATCGAAATTTTATTATTTAAATTAAGAAAAAAGTACTTAGAAAGTATTTTTTCTATATAATATATTATGTGCTTAAGTAAACAATAAAAAGAATTAAAATTTTTGATTTTTAAATGAAAATAAAAGTTGATTATAATTATTCTTTACTTTTGGTGTAAAACCCAGAAAATATAATAATTACATACCAATATAACGAATATATTTCATATTATAAATATATAAAAATCTAGTTGTCGGTCTCATTGAAAACTTAATGTTTTATGTTAAAGTTTTTAAAAATTTATTTATTTAATAGTTTCTTTTTATTATGTACTTAGTACAATTAGATATTTTTAATTACTTAAAAGTGTATAAAATGAATAATATTTATATAGTTTGAATTATATTTTTTTGGTAGATGTTCGTTGTGTAGGAAAGCAATGTAATGTTTAGCAAAACAATAAAGAAAAAAATATTTGATAATATTGTGTTAATATTAAAATGCCATAATTTTTATTTTGCAAAGCTTTCAATTTGAATGTATTTTATTTTATATCTTTTATATTAATATAATATTTTTGTAAAAAAAAACAATATTTTATTTTATTGTTTCTCATATTTTAGTTTATTTTACACTAAAATTATTTTCAGATTTAAAATTTTGGTTAAATCACTGAAGAGAAAACAGGTTAAATTTGTAAACATATTTCTAGCTAGTTATTAGAACAATTTATTTTATATTTTCTAGTTCAAATTTAATTTTATTTTGTTTCCTACCTTGTTGCAAATTTGATGTGTATATTTATTTTTAAACAACTTTAACAATACATCATGTCAGCCCAGTTTCACATTTCTAAAACAAGCAAACATTAGTAAGGAAACATTAGCACGGAGACAATAATTCTAATGAACAGTTAAAAAAGAATAAAACAATAATTTTAATTTATATAAATATATATATATATATAATATATATATATATATATATATAATATATATATATATATAATATATAAATAAAACTCACCACTGTTTATTATAATATACCATATTGCATTTGCAAAAATTATCCTTTTAAAATAGTAGACAATATATCAGTACTTTTTTATTTAAATTATTTTACACAATTTTAATTTCTTATTTAATTAAACTTTTAAAATTTTTATGAGGCAAATAGTGATGGACAATAAGTTATAATAAAAATAAATTGACAATAAAAATACTAGTTAAGTAGTTACTTTCCAAAGTATATAAAAAACTGCCGAAAATATAATATTAAAATTATAAATTCGAAATCAACTATGTTGTGAAAAATTTGATTATTAAAAATATAATCAAATATAAAAACTTTATTAATATTTAAATATTCAAGTAATGAAAATTTTATGATATTTCTCGTGCAAAACAATTAAACTTATAAATGTAGCTTTAAAAAAAATTAGATAATATATACATAAATACAATAATAATATGCTGGCTTTAATTGAAACAAAAAGTACATATTTATAAGTATGATATGAAAAAATAAAAATTAATATTTTCTAAAAAAGCGTAATAAAATATGTAACAATATTTTATGAAATTTAGAATTACGTACATTTTTAGTTATTATATAGAATGGTATTAAGTTCTTATATTAAGTACATTAAATATTAAAGGCAATAAATACTTACAGCTAAACACAATTTTTAACAAAATAAATAAAATAAATTTAATACATACATAATTTATTTATCAAATTATGTTCATTAAATTTTAATCAAAAAATTTTTTATAAACAATATTTTCAACATATAATATTGTAAAACTTTTTCCTTCTCTAATGCCATTCTATATCATGTATTTTAAAATTAACTAATAAATTTCAAATTTAAAAAAAAAAATACTGTAGAAATTGTAAATTATATTATGTATTTCTACAATTTAAATAAAATAAATTTTAAAAATAATTTATATTAAAAATTTGAAAGTACATTTATTATAACAATTTTAAATAATAAAACATTTTTAAATATAAATAATTTGAGATGACCAAATCAATACTAGAAAAAAAAATTAAAATAAGAAATTGACAACAAAACCTTGAAGTTTCAAAATTTGCCTTAATATACTCTCGCATGAAAACCAAGTAAAATAAATAAACCTTATACTAAAATAATTTTTTTTTAGAATTTATTATACTCCTACAGTTTTCCCAATAAATGTACTTTCAAAATATTGTGTTTCAAATGAAAATAAAATAATTTAGTATTTAATGATAAAATTGAATAATTATGATTGAGAAAATCAACTAAAATTACTGCTTGTATGATTTGAAGTTTAATAATTTAATTATAAATTTTAAAACTTTTTTAATTTACCAGATAATTGTTTAAAGTATAGATTTACATATTTTTAATATAATTGTAATAATTGTAATCATTATAATAATAAATCTATATTGTTCTGAAAATTTTTAATCTTTTAACGTACTGTATTTTGAAACACAAAATTTTTAAATTTTATTCATATAAAATATTTATATTAAACAATATACTAAGGCAAAAATTATAATCTTATGAAATTAGGTTGTGTTGTTTGTAGATTCAAGTAAGAAATAGCATCATTTATATATAATATAAATTATATTTTAGAAATATAATTAAAATTCAAATTTAATATTCAGAATCCAAAAAAAAAAATATAATGAAAATTTTTTTCGCTTTATAATATTATATGATAGAGTTTAGCTCAGAAATCTCAGATTTTTCTGATATTAAAAAAAAAAAATCAAGTCAAAAAACAAATAAAAACATATCCTCAAAATCTTGTTTTATTTTTAAATTTAATTAAGTAGTAAAAATAAAAAAAATACCAGAATTTTAAGAAAAGAAAAGAGAGATTAGAAATAGGATACTTTTTGAAAGTTCAGAATTTAATATATATTATTGAGATTTTTGATAATTTTGAATCACTTAATTTAAAAATACTAAAGTTTTTTTATGTATTCCAAGTTTTTAAATTTGGAATAAAATATTATAAATAGATTTCAAAGATTTAAAATAATTAACAATAGATTTGTTTTAATTTATTCTCATTAAACAATTAAATTTATGTTTGTTAATTTTTAATTTAAATGTTACTTCAATCTTTGGAAGCGCAAAATGATTATATCTTAAATTGGAATTGATTCCCAGTTCAAATAACTTTACAACGCAAGGATATTTTGCCCAATTTTATCGTTCAATCGATAAAATACTACAGAACAATGTATTAATACAGTGAATACATTAAATTTAACAGATGATATTGAATATACGTTAATTAATTTAAGTTATATGGAAATTTTAGTATAAATTTATGTATTGAAAAATATTAATGATTATTAATGAGGCTTTAAATTTAATTCTAATCTCTCGATTTATTGCAATATGAAATTAATTCAGTATTAATTTATAAATTTTCACAAGAATACTAAATAATTAGAAAATAAAAAAGTATACATTTTTAGTAAATTATATCAGATAAATAGTATTTAAATCCATATCAAAATATAATATCAATATTTATTATATATTCAGTATAATATGATATTTAGTAGGAAAAATAAAAAAAACAGATTCAATTAAACTTATACGAAAAAAAAAATTCAAATTTAAAAAAATGTACTTAAAATAAACTATAAAAGAATGTTATATCAAAAGCAGTGTTAAATATATTGAGAATTTTTGAAAGTGTGAAAAATATTATTAATTTAATTAAAATTCGAAGATAAATTTTTGTAGTATTGTTATAAAATTTTAAAACATTTTAAAATAATTTAAGTTTTTTATGGAATAAATTCTAATACGCGTTCTAAATGGCTCTATGAATTATACGTAGTTTAAACTATTTTTTGATTTTATCTTCGATAATAAAAAATAATAATTTACCTCAAACAAAATTCAAATTTTAATAATTTCTATATAGTTTAATTAAATCGTGATCTATGTAAGCATAACACGCTTAAAAAAATAATGCTGCTTTTTAGAATAAACAACAAAAAAAAAAACTAATTTATAATTGAAAAAAAAATATGTTTTAAAAACAGAATACTTACAAATATATTTATAATTGCTTTAAATCTATCGATCACCTAAAAAAGAATATACATAGTATATAATAAAAAAAGAAAAATATAGAAAATAGCATATAAAGTTACAAACAAAAATCTGTAATAGGCAGAAATCGATTTAAAAATATTAAATTAAAGTAGTAAATTTCAATAAAATATATTATATGAAAATTGCTTGAAATTGTAGCATTTTGTTTTTGTCTTTGTGTTTTGTTTTATAACAGGTTATTCTCCATTTTGAGTATTTGAAATGATTTCTGATTTTTTGGGTTTTTCTTAATTCAGCTTGAAACTAGATAAACTATGTCATATTGTTCCGTAATGCAATAATGATA